GGGAGAAATTCCCAATAACGAGGACATTAAATGTCATTTAATGCTGCAGGAATTAGTGGGACGCGTGGCAGCATCCTGTTGTTTTGGCCGTTTCTGCAGAAACAGAGAGACGCAGCGTGCGTCCTCGTTTTTGGGATTTGTCATAATGACAAATTTTGAAGTGATGTTTGGTACTGCACGCCGTACTGAAAGTGACGTCCTAGGATCAAATCAATGATGGTTTCTTGGGATTGCCAATAGTTGGTAAAAAGCAACAAAAAAGTGCACAAGTTAACTTGTGACTAAGCATGGAAAAAACAGGTGTCGAATGGCGTTTTCAAAGAATGCCTTTTTCTTTCAGAGTCGAAATAAGGCATTCTTGGGGGGCAATTTGTTGGCTCCTAAATTCGACACCTTTGTTTTGATTGATGGCAGCCATTAAAAGCTGAAAGATGCTTTCGACTGGCTAAGCCTGTCGAAGTGCCCGTCGAAAGATGGCAAAATACTTAGAAGATTTCTTCCAAGGAAGAAGGCTGATTGCCTTCGACGTCGAAGGAGTTTTCGTCGAAGACGTCTCTTGATGAAGGTGTTCGATGATCCAGAGTGGAGCAGTTTGAAATTCAAAGCTTTGGAGGGAAAACGGTTTCCAGCAGTTATTACGTGCAAACGTGCAAGGATCTGGAGCGTCGAGCATGGAGAACGTGCCAAGTGGTTTAATCTCGAAGCAGTGTAACTGCCCGACGGTTACTTGGAATGTTTTAGTATAAATAGGAGTAGACATGTAGTTTCTCGCGTGTGTTCACAATAAATACATAGTCACTCATTTAGATTCAAGTACCCAGTGTGAGCGAAAGAATTGTTGAGAAATGTATGTGTGAAACACCAATTTTATCAATTAAAAGTCATTTACTTTTCCAGTATTTTACATGCTTTTTCCCCTTTAAATTCCTGTCGAACCTTTACTTTAAAGCCTTGTTTATTTTACCAAGCCTTTCCTTTATGCAATTTACTTGAAACATTTTACTTAAAGCCTTATCCACATTAATCAAACTTCAAAATCAACCTATGTCCATAGGATCAATCTGATCGATCCTGCGAGTAACCAAATAAGTAACCATTTGGAGGATCAGCGGTTGTTTACCAAAACCCTAGGTAAACACATCCCATGCAATGCCAAGCCTCACAAACGCTTCCACAACAATTTTGAGGCAACAGATGGATGAAAGAAACCATGACATGGTACAAATATTGGCCCAAACTCTAAGTATAGTATTGAACCCTCTAATACAAAGTACCACTCAGTCAAACCAATAAATGATAGTGAAAATGGCGCGCATGACTAAATTTTTTGGGGTTCCCTAACCTATTCGACAACCCCAGAGAGCTCCTATGAGAGAGGATCAAGGTGTAGTCTTAGAAGAAGATGTAACTATTAACTAAAATCCAAAATTTGATAGGAGGAACCACATAGCAGAAATCGAACAACCTAGGTTCGAAATACCCAGAATCCCTCGCAGATCCTTAGAGATGGTGATCAAGGTGTAATGATGGTAAATAGGAACCAAAATGCTAATGAACTGATACAGCAAGTTCAACACTATAATTATGGCATAGAAAATAATCTGACAGCCATGATCGAAAGGATCATGATACAAAATGGAATGAACGTTGGCTTTCATAGGCCAAATTTTACATCCCCACTGTCAGAATATATCTTGCAAACGGATTTACCCCCTAGGTGGAAAGTTCCAAAATTCACTAAGTTTTCAGGGGATACGACGGAATCAACTGTCGAACATATAGCGAGATATTTGATAGAAGCTGGGGAAATATCAAATAATGAGAGCATTAGGATTAAATACTTCCCAAGTTCTCTAACAAAAAACGCTTTTACTTGGTTTACCACCCTCCCAGCCAATTCAAGCCACAATTGGAATCAATTGGGAAGATTGTTCCATGAACAATTTTACATGGGACAAACCAAAATAAGTCTGAAAGAACTGGAAAGCATGAAAAGAAGATTCACCGAGCCAATAGACGAATATCTAAATAGGTTTCGACTGGTCAAAGGCAGATGATTTACACAAGTGCCTGAGCATGAATTGGTCGAAATGGCTGCAGGGGGCCTAGACTATTTTATCAGGAAGAAACTAGATACCCAATATCTGAGGGACATGGCCCAATTGGCCGATAGAGTTCGACAGGTAGAACGTCTTAAAATTGAAAAAGCTAAAGCAAATAAGACTCATCGGCGAGAAAAGGTAGCCTATGTCGAAATGGATGATGATGATCCAAAGACATCTAGTAATCCTATAGCTGACGAAGAGAGCGAAATAGATTTAGCAGAGTTAAAACATGGGCCTCCATACTCTTGTAGAGTGTTACTGCCCTCAGATGGGAAGAATCCTACTGAGTCTGAAAGGAACAGCGATAGATTTCCAAAGAAAATATATAGTTTCGACGTCACAAAATGTGATGAGATATTCGACTTATTAGTGAAAGATGGCCAAATGATAGTGCCCCCAGGGGCAAAAATGCCTCCTTTAGAACAAAGAAAGAAAAGAGATTTTTGTAAGTATCATAATTTTTTGGGCCATAAAACTTCACAATATTTTCTTTTCAGGGATCTCGTTCAAGGGGCGATCAAAGAAGGCAGACTCAAATTTACTGACAAACCCCAAATGAAAATTGATGCAGACCCACTGAGAGCTGATGCCCCTATGTTGAACCAGCAGGAATCAACATGGTTTAAATTTCTGAAGATTTCGTCAATATGCCGGTCTTTGGCAGTTTTACTGGGAATATCTCCAGAAAGACTGCAGAAGCGGTTAAAAAGACCACTGAAGACCTAAACGAAAAGGCTACTAAAGGCCTAAGCAAAGGAGTTACTGAAGACTCAAACAAAAGGACTACTATAATTGCTATTTTTATAAACTATATATTGTATATTATAAGAAAAAGTATAATATAATTAATGGTATTATATTAGTTAATATATCCTTCCTCCTAAATTATAAAAAGCTATGTGAATTTCACACAAATTAAAAAACAAAAATAATTTCATAAGAGAAAGAAAAAAATATCTAAGGTTTTATAATATGTCTTTTTATTATTTAGAGAAAAAAAATTAGAAGAATGAAAGTAGAGGTATATTGAGAAAAATATGAAAATTTAAAAAAAAAAACATATAAAAATGGATCCCAAAAAACTCTTATATTTGAGAATAGAAATAAATGAATCAAATTATATCAGCGTATCAAATTTAAATTGGTGAAATTTGTAATTCTATAATCAAAAGTCTACCATCTACTTTTTTTTCTATAGATACCATTTGTTTATATATATATATATATATATATATATATATATATATATATATATATATATATATATATATATATATATATATATATATATATATATATATATATATATATATATATATATATATATATATATATATATATATATGAGAATAAATAAGTTATATGAGAATGTGAAAATACAATAATTTAAAATTAAAAAATATTTTTAAAATTTGATAAATAATTTTTCTTTTTTATTAATGACACATAATTTAATATAAATTTTAACTTTTTTTAAAAAAATTTAATGATTCTTTTTTATTTTCATATAACTTATATATATATATATATATATATATATATATATATATATATATATATATATATATATATATATATATATATATATATATATATATATATATATATATATATATATATATATATATATATATATATATATATATATATATATATATATATATATATATATATATATATATATATATATATATTTCAAAAGGGGCTTTCGTCCATGTAAGCTTGCCACTGCACCGTGTGATTAAAGCTTGCCATTTGTTTATATATTAAAAGTATTCTATACGTTAAATTAAAATTCGTGTTTTTTTTAAGCATTAAGTTAAAATTATTTGATAAGCATCAAAATATAAATAGAACACCCTTTTTTTTCAAACCAAGAATATTATAGTGGACATATTGAAAACAAATAAATGATTAAATAAGTTACAACACGAAAGTGGAGATCATGGAAATAATTGAAACTTTTTCTACTTATCAACAATAATTAGTGGAAATCAAGTTGGTCTAATTAAAACACTCCTTTATGTGGTAGCATACACAATTTAACCAATAAGCTAAGCTTTACAAGCATGATCAAATTTTTGACTTAAACATATTGAACACTATCACATGTAAAATCTATCCAAAATCAAAAATACCTTTGATTCTAGTAACACATCTTTTTCTCGAAATGGTTTTTGTAACTTTTGCTTGTTAAAATAATATGTGGTCAACTTTATGTGACAACAACATCACCACTCTAAAATTTTGATTCGTAAATCTTATTAATAGATAATATTTAAATATTTTTATTTATCTGAGTAATCTGAATCCGAAGATATTTATTTATCTATCTGTGTTTTATGAATCTAAACATATTTATCTGTATCTTTTTAATTTGAAGACGTTTGTCTGTTTACGCTGTCTGTGTTATTTGAATCTAAAAACGTATATGATATACGTGAATATATATAGTATTATTCGAGTCTAAAGACGTAAAGGATGTACGTGAGCTCGTCTAAATTTTGATGTATGAAAAATAAAACATGGTCATTCTCTATATGCATGCATTTTGAATAGTAGAATTTGTCTCCAATCCAAATCACTTTAAATACAGAACACTCTTTCAGAATCTTGATGAGAACATATGTTGGCTGTGAAGTGATCATATCCGGTGGCACGGTACGGTCACTTTCCGGCGTAAACTAGCCACCATATCCTCCTAATTTCATACGTTTAGAAGCATAAAGTATCTAAGGATATTATAGAATTGTGCTGTACAGCATCAGAACCAGCATATCAACCAAACAAACTCCTTTTTTTCATTTCAACATATATAAATATCATCTTGTGTGTTTTCATTCAACACACTCATCAACAAAGAAACTCATCATCACTCATAGAACAAAGAGAAAAATGGTGAAATTCTCAAAGCAATTTGAAGGACAAGTCATTCCTGAATGGAAAGATGCTTTTGTAGATTATAGCCAACTTAAGAAGGATATTAAAAGAATTCAAGTTCTTAACAATATCAACAATGAACCAAACAATCACCGAATGATATCTTCGCCCTTTTCGTTACTACGAAAAATCTCTTTATTCGGACATCAACAAAGAGACCATGAACCAATTCAAGTAAACTTTTTATTTTATAAGATTATGAATATTAATATTTTTTAAGATTATTTGTGTTACGTATTTGACTCATGATTTTTTTTATAGGTTCATAGGAAACTTGTTTCATCAACAAGTAAAGGTGACATGTATGAGACACAATTGTTGGAGCAATTTGCTGACACTGATGCTACTAAAGAATTTTTTGCATGTTTGGATCAAAATCTCAACAAGGTGAATAAGTTCTATAGGACAAAGGAGAAAGAGTTTGTAGATAGAGGAGAGTCATTGAAGAAACAAATGAATATTCTCATTGAGCTCAAATCTGCATTCATGGAGAAGAAAAGTAAAGGAAGCTCTTCTCAATATTCCAAGGAGGAAGAATCTGTGTCATGCACATTTTCTAGTAGTGGTATGTTATCAACCTTATCTTTTTAAATTGAACAATGTGAACATTTAGTGAGTTTATAACATATGTGAGCTGTTTGGATGAGCCTATGAAAATTATTTATTACATATCTATAGTTTTTTTTGGGCTTATTTCTATAAGTTCTCTATAAGACAACTTATGTAAAAAAGGTTATAACTTATATGGAAATGTTTTATCTTTTGTTTTAAAAATAAATTACACATAATCACTTAATATGTGATAAATACAATATGCATGTAATAATTAGAGGGGTCTCATAAATGGTTTTTATGGTCACTCTAGTACAAAATGCCGACACAAACATCAATCACGACATTAACGTGTAGTAGTTTAGTGACGGTTTCAAATTCACGCTTATACATTTAATGTTCTTGCACAGCTACCAACTGAGATGACCTAACGGGACGTGATATATAGAATTCTAATCATTCTTAATTAGTGTTTGAATCTAACACTTTGTATTCTGGCTACAGAGGATGACTCTGTTAGGAGCAGCAGAGAACAAACATGTGATTTGGAGAAAATCGAAGAGGACTTAACTCAATCAAATGAAGAAGAAAAATCGATGAATTTGAAATGGGTTGATGGTAAATTAAGGACATTATCTGGCCATATGGTTAGTTCCAAAGGAAAGAATGTGAAGATAAATATTCCTTTGACAACTCCTTCACAAACTTTATCAGAAATTAGTTACCTTGTGATGGAAGATTTGTTCAACCAATCTTCAAAGAAATCTAATCCAGAAAATGGTGTTCTTCATCTTAACAAAACAAGGTTACATCATGCTGAAAAAATGATCAAAGGTGGTTTCATTGAGCTTTATAAAGGCTTAGGATATTTGAATGATTATAGGTATAGTTTAGCTTTTTTTATTTTATTTTTTATAATGAAGTTAAATTAAGTGTTATATTTGATATGAAAAATAATTGTGTTTGCTTGATCATGTTGATATTTTAGGAACTTGAACCTGCTTGCATTTCTAAAGATTCTGAAGAAATTTGATAAGGTAAAGTGAATTAGATTGTACTAAAATTTAATATTGAAAATGAAGTTCTTTATATTTAAAGTGTGTAATAATCTAGTCTGCAAATCTTAATTCAACTGACAAAGGTTGATATAATTTCTCGATTTTCAGGTCACTGAAAAACAAATTCTTCCGATCTATCTTAAAGTAGTTGAGAGTTCATATTTCAACAACTCGGACAAGGTAAACAATAAACACAAATCAAAACCATGACCAAAAATATCTTACTACCATCATGTCAATCTTTAATGAAGAATATATTATCATGTTAAGATGTTGGCCACTAGTTATGCTTGCAACTCAATGTGTTACCAACAATATCAAGTGGCCAAAAATCATATGTTTATGTCTGGCAACAAAACATGGCCTAGAATCATGCACATAGAAACTAGATATGTTTGTCTAAATATCTGTCACTTTTCATGGTTTTAAATTGTGATCGCGGATACGGGTGTTGTGATTGAGGTTGTTGCAATACGCATTGCGGTCGTTGGAGCATAAATTTTGATTGCGAAGAGTTTGAAATACACCTTTAAAAAACATTTAATGTTAAAAAATTTCAGAAGTAAATTAAGTTTTTGGTTCTAAATTTTGAGTTTGATGAAAATAGTATAAGAAACTTGGGCGAAATTGTCTGATGCAGTTTCAAATATAGAAGAACATGTGATTTCATATCATATCACAATTGTAATCCGATGTGGTTGGAGAGACTACTGCATCAACAATATTGCAGCAGCCGTTACCGCAATTTAAAACCATGATCACTTTTACACTTTTGATATCTTAACAAAATTCATAATATGTGCAACATTTAGAGAGTAGTTTTGTTTTGGACTTTGTTAACCATCTTTATTAACTTGTTTGTCCTAAACATGATAGGTGGTAAAGTTGATGGATGAAGTGGAGGAGTTATTTGTCAAGAACTTTGCTAAAGATGATCATAGAAAGGCAATGAAATACCTTAGACCAATTCATCATAAGAAAGAATCACATGCTTTAACTTTCTTCATTGGTGAGTAACTTTTAGCCTTTTTAAAAAAATTTATCTTGTGTTTGTTTTTGTCAATCATTGTGGTTAGGAGCCTTTAGGTTGGTTTGCTTTGTGATCACTAGAATCCAAAGAAAACACAAAAATGGAGTCATGGACCCCTTTAGTCACTAGCTCCTCAACTGATCCCACTTTTCTAAACATCATGACTTTTTAATTTTGATCACTTTTTAAAAATAAAAAATTGATATCTCCTATTTTACAAATTCAAATATCATAGAAATATTGTGTAAATATCTTAATTTGTCAGTAGAAACTTATGGAGTTTAATAGTGATATATTATTCGGAAGTATTTTTTTTAATATGTAGACAAAATTGTCAATAACTACTAGAAACTCGTATAAGGATCAAAGTTCTGGTGTTAACGTTCAATCTAATAATATCATCTTTTGTCGGTTGAACTAAAATTTGCTGACAAATGATCCATAGCAAGTTAGTTACAAAATTAACTGAGTATTTTTTATAAACTCAGGACTATTTACGGGCTGCTTTTCGGCACTTTTTGTTGGATATGTTTTAATGGCTCATGTTACTGGACTCTACAAAAGACACCAAAATTCACTCTACATGGAAACTGTATACCCTGTGCTCAGGTAACTAAAAGGGCTTTAATTTTAGCACTCATATTAGTGTTTTCAAAGCCAGACCGGTAGATTGGTTCAACCACAACCGGTTTTTAGTTTGTTAGAACTGGATTGAACCACAGTTCGATCTCTGGTCTGATTTTTAAAACAATGTTTCGCATGTTATATCTACGGTATTACTTGAGCTGGAAATAAGTCGTAAGTTTCTGTTATGATTATGCAGCGTGTTCAGTCTCATGTTTCTACATTTCTTCCTCTACGGATGCAACATTTTCGCGTGGAGAAAGACTCGTATAAACTACAAATTTATTTTCGAGATGGCCCCGACTAAGGAACTAAAGTACAGAGATGTATTCTTGATTTGTACAATGTCTATGACTGCTGTGGTTGGAGTCTTGTTTTTTCATTTGACTCTACTCACTAAAGGGTATACCTATGCACAAGTTCAATTCCTTCTTGGCCTGCTTTTCCTCGTAAGTTCTTGATTTTCTACGCAACTTCATATTTAACAAGTTTGAAAAAATGTGCATTTAACATTATAAATAAGTTTTCCACATGCTTTGGATCATATCTTATCAGAATAAGATATTACCATCTGAAAGTTGAAACGTAACATCCTATCTTGTTTATTACATGTACAGGCCTTCTTACTATTACTTGTTTGCCCCTTCAACATTATATATCGGTCGAGTCGTTACCACTTCCTTTGCGTGATAAGAAACATAATTTGGTCACCCCTTTATAAGGTACATAAAAGTAAAACAAATACATTTTTTTGTTAAATCGTAACGAAATATTGTTTTGGTCATAATCTCAATGGATTTTTTATTGCTCTTCCTAGGTTGTGATGCTGGACTTTTTTATGGCTGATCAACTTTGCAGTCAGGTAGTTTTTTTTATAGAAAAGTACATTTGATTTTGTTGCAATACTAGTGAAAATAACAATTATATTAATGGTTACATAATTTCTTTATAGGTTCCAATGCTAAGGAACTTAGAGTTTATGGTATGTTACTATATAACTGGGAGCTACAAGACTCAAGATTATGGATATTGCATGAGAGTGAAAAACTATAGAGATTTTGCTTATGCAGTGTCTTTTCTTCCATATTATTGGAGAGCAATGCAGGTAAAAAATCGTGTTTAATTGTGTTCAGTGAATGTTTAATCTGCTAAACATAATTAATCTAAGTGATTGTCGAATTTTGATGTCAAATTTGTGTGCCAAAATAACAAAAATCTTTTGATTAAAAAATGTGGAGAACTAATTGATGTTCCTTAATTTGTTTCTAGTGTGCAAGAAGATGGTTTGATGAAGGAGAGACAAGTCACCTTATCAATCTAGGAAAATATGTTTCAGCTATGTTAGCTGCAGGTGCTAAAGTTGCTTATGAAAAAGATAAAAGTGTTGGATGGTTATGTGTTGTGGTGACCATGTCAAGTGTTGCAACTTTGTACCAATTGTATTGGGACTTTGTTAAGGATTGGGGTTTACTACAAATGAACTCCAAGAATCCTTGGTTAAGGAATGAATTAATGCTAAGAAGAAAAGCCATTTACTACTTCTCCATGGTACATAAATCATATCATTTAATACTATGTACTACCGACACTTCAAATTGAATGTGTATATTGTATCAGACATTGACACAATATTGACACGTACATAAGATTATAATATTATGTAGTAAGAACACTTCGGATTGAAGATGTGTCTTGTATCAAACATTGACATAATATTGACACATACATAAGATTATAATACTATGCAGTACTAACACTTTAGATTGAAGCAGTATATCTGATATTATTATATCGGACATTGACACAATATTGACACGTATATGAGATTATAATATTGTACCCATACTTCAGATTGAAAGTGTAACAGGTGTTTGATATAAATAAGAAAATTGCTTTGTTTATTGCAGGTATTAAATATTACTCTGAGGCTTGCTTGGTTGCAAACTGTGCTCCATTCAAGTTTTGAAA